GAAGCATCCCAAGTTCATGACCAGGAGCGTTGGCCTCGACACTGGCGGGCTACCCTGTGTGTCGGACAGCTCGAGAACGTGATGCCAGACGGGACAAGCCTGATGGTGGACCTGGCGACGAAGAAGATTGGCACCCAGGGCGACCATGGCCAGTTGGTGGGCAAGCTGGGGCGTTTCTCATTGCTGCGCGGCAAGAGTCACAAACACGGACAAGTCGCGCGAAGTTCCTTCGCCTCGGAGGTAGTGCGCGCGAGCGACGGAGTTGATGTGGCCCAAGGACTTCGAGATCAGGTCGCGGAGATGCTTTATGTACCAGTTCCATGCGGACCTTGTCTCAAGCTGTCTGGTTGGCAAGTGCCATTCGTAGTTGTGTTGGATTCACGTGACGAAGTGATCGATTTACGAGCGATACTGGAGTAGGACGTGCAACGCAAAAGAGCATCAACCTGGAGCTCACCAGAGCACGAGAGATTGTGGACCGCCCGCGGACGCACATGCGCTCGACCGACGGCACTAACGTGATATTGGACTGCCTCGCGAAAAACATGCTGGTGGACCACTTGCGAGAGACCCTTGAGCGAGGGTCTTGGAGTATCGAATTTCCGAGAAGGGCAAGTCCAAACTGCTCGGCGAGTTGCCAGGACTCGTGGGAGAAGAAGATGGGCTAGTTCGCATCGAGTCTGGCAGCTGGTGGTGATAAGTCAGGTAGGTTTACGAGTGATCGAGGTGCCGCGGCTTCACAGTCTACTTTCAGTTTTTTTTGCGATGTCGTTGTGTGACTTCATTCCGTATTTAGGGTTGCAGCGACCCTCCTGTCGTTTCGTTGCTATATGTGCTTTGATTTTGTGTATAAAAGTTTGGCTTGGTTCCTGGGGTGTTTTCTCCTCGATCTCTTATGCGGTTGCTTTTGTTCCCGTGAGGGTCTTCTATTGGAACTTTGTGTCTGCGGTGTCAGAATGTTTTCACCAAGTCTCTGACTGAGGATATGTGTCCTGAGCTGTGCATGCTTAACGAGCTCGTTTATTTTTACCTGCGTTCCGCTAAGGAAGCTGTGCAGGTGAAAGCGTAGGGGTTTCGATCTTCAAATTTTACATCCGTGTGGAATTCAACTATTTCGGCCCCCTCCTTGCTTCCATATCGTTTTCCCACCGTGCTTTCCTCGACCCGTCGCTGTTGTGCATCAAGCCGGCTTGAGGCATGATTGCTTTCGGAAGCGAGCGACCGGAACATATCTTTTCCTCTGTGATATTGGCTGCCGCCATTCCGCCGTTGCGTGGTCCAGGGAACAAGAGAGCGACCCCGGTTCCGCACTTTGTGTCCTGCGGTGAGGTGAGGCACAGTTCCCGTCGGGGAGCGGCTTCTTCCCTATTGCGTCCTCCTCCTCCTCCTCCTCCTCCTCCTCCTGCTCCTCCTCTTCCTCCTCCTCCTCCGCCTCCTCCTCCGCCTCCTGCGCCTCCTGCGCCTCCTCCTCCTCCTCCTTCTCCTCCTCCTCCTCCTCCTCCTCCTCCTCCTCCTTGGGTCCCTGGGGCCTTGAAGTTTTCCGTGGCGCCAGCTGGGCCGACCTCCCGCGCCTCCCTGACCGGGTTCCGGCCGTGGCCGGACCCTAGGCGCAGGGCTGGAACCGAACGGTTCGGGGGTGGACAGAAACCCCAATAGTGACACGTCGATTAGTGAATTGTCCGTTTTCGGTTTTCGAGAGGGCGCCGTGGCCGTTATTTTCCAGGCTTGCGCCCGCCAGGTTTGGGCCCGAAGTCGTTTTCACTAAACCACGTTTTACTAAAGGAAGGTATGTCCATCCCCGAACGGTGCTTTTGGTGAAATTTCGTGGGCCGTTTTCGTCTCGATTTCGTTTTGCCGTAAGGGCGGAGTGGCGACAGAGCGAGGGAGAACAAAGGCGGAACGGAAACGAAAAACACCTTTTTGGGTTCAGCCCTGCGCCTAGGCGGTGCCGATCACCTTGGAGACGTCTGTTGAGCCTGGAGTGCGTGTTTGCAGCCCTCCCCAGAAGCAGCCTTCTGCCCATGCGCGTCGACAACTCTTCACACACTTTTTGTCGCAGACTCGGCGGTCGCTTGGCCTTGGAGGGCTGCTGCAAAGCCGAATTGCGCACCAGAGGGGAAAGGAGGAGGCGAGCGGCGGCCGCTGGGGAAGGTCTAAATGTGCCACGCGCTTATCAGCTTTGAAGGTATGAGCATGCCACGCGCTTTTCAGTGTTGGCCTTCAGAGAGCGTGGGATTGTGGAAATGATCGTTGAACAGGAGGAGCGTCGACGCAGAAACGGGTGCGTAGAATGGGTTCAAACAGGTGGGATCGTACAAAAGCGTCGAGGGTGTATCTGAAGAGCGTGGCAACAGGCGCGTAGCAGCTTGCTTTTTCCCCATGTCCCTTCCGCTCTGGCACCTGGCTCCGCCCCCCTCCCATCCTCTTTTTTCCCTTTCCCCTCTTCCTCTTCTCTCCCCCTTCCCCTTCTCTTTTCTTCCCCCTCCCTTCCCTTGTCAGGAGGTTTGGAGGCCATAGTCACTGCTCTGTTCCGAATCCCCAGCAGGCGCCGAAAGAGAAAAAGGCGAGAAAAAAGGATAAGGATAAGGATAAGGAAAAGGAGAAAGAGAAGGAGAAGCAAAAGGATAAGGATAGAGAGGAGGATGGAGAGCGAGAAAAAGACAGGGGCAAAAAGAAAAAAGACAAGGACAGGGACAAGGCGGACGCCGAGGAGGCGAAGGCGGACAAGAAGAAGAAAAAGAAGAGGAGAGGCCGGTCCGAGGAGAGGTCCGAGGCCAGCAGGTCTGGAGGCTCGGACGCCAGCGGCTCGGAGGACGATGAGGACGCCAGCGCCTCCGACTACTCCCGGTCGCGATCAGGCCTTGGATGTTTCAGAAGTCCACACGGCGACGTGCCCAACACTCCCCCTCCCCCCGCGGCCACCACCCCACTCCTCACTCTGGGGGCAGGCGGGGGGAGCAGGACGGGGGAGGAGGACGAGGAGGAGGGGTGGCGAGGAGAGGGAAGGGAAGGGGACGAGAGGGGAGGAAAACGGGGGGCCGAGAAGGCAGTGTGGGCAGAAGGGGGGGACGGGGTCAGGGGAACGAAACGAGTGGCATAGACATACTAGCTCGGGGGGCCGCGCGGATGTCTCGGAGGGGGACCCGGAGGAGGAGGAGGAGGAGGAGGAGGAGGAGGAGGAGAGGAGGAGGAGGAGGAGGAGGGGAGGGAGAGAGGAGGAGGAGGAGGAGAGAGGAGGAGGAGGAGGAGGAGGAGGAGGAGGAGGAGGAGGAGGAGGAGGAGGAGGAGGAGGAGGAGGAGGAGGAGGAGGAGGAGGAGGAGGAGGAGGAGGAGGAGGAGGAGGGCGAGGGCGCGCCCGGAGGGCGCCGGAGGCGCGGGCCTCCGAGGTTTTTGTTCTCGTGTCACTCTTCGTTCCCCCCCGAGGGCGTGGAGGCAGGGAGGCGGTGCGGGAGGGTGCAGAGGAGGGCGGAGGGGGGGGTAGAGCAGGGGGAGGGCCTCCTCCTCCTCCTCCTCCTCCTTTTCCTTCTCCTCCTCTTCCTTGTCTTCCTCCTCCTCTTCCTCCTCCTCCTTTTCCTCCTCCTCTTCCTCCTCCTCCTCCTCCTTTTCCTCCTCCTCCTTTTCCTCCTCCTCGACCTCGGCCCAAGGCTCCTATTCGGGCGACAGCGCCGACGACGGCGACGACAGCTGCAGCCGGAGCCGGCGGCGGCGCAAGAAGCGCCGAGATAGGAGCAAGAGCAAGGACGTCGGGCGCCAGCGAAAAAGTAGGAGGGACGGGAGGTACAGGGGAGGAGAATAAGGACCAGTACAGAGGAGGGATTTTGCGTGTTCAAGATTTAGGCGATCGCAAACATGGGAACTCGCGGATTAGCGACGGGTTTGTTTCCATAGGAAATCGCGGATTTCCGCCGCCGAACGAGGCGGCACCTGCCGCATTTTGGGGGACCGCGCGCCAAGTCCATGGATCGCTAATCCATGTTTGCGCGCCCCCGAGAGGTAGAGGGGATGAGAATATGGACCAGTACAGAGGAGTGATTTTGTGTGTTCAAGATCGAAGTTCCCCCGTGATGCGAGAGTCTTCATGGCTTTACCAGGATGCATGGCTTCTTTTTCAAAGCGATCTCGCATGCAGGCGACGTCCAACCACGAGTGAATGTTCAGTCTTGACGTTTTGCGTATCCCCACCAGCGCCCTAGCTCTGTCCGGCTTTCGACTTGCTTCGCGAGCCCGTGAACCAAAAAGTATCCCCATCAGCTCTTCCAGAAACGATGATGAGGGGAGTTGTTTGGAGGAGGGGCGTAGGTGAGCATATAGTGGAGCAGTGCAGCCAACGATGGTGAAACTAGAGACCTCGGGGGCGTTTTGGAGCCAGGGCCCTTTTGGATGCCTTTCGAGCTCTCTTTTGGCCCTCTTGCAGCCCTCGTGGGGCTCCCTTGAGGGCTTCGAAGGGCCTTGGAAGGGCCATCGATCAAAGAGGAGGGGTTCTCGACTGCCCTCCTCCCTTCCGAAGCACAAAAGCCTCCTCTTGGAGCCCTCTTGGGGCGCTTCTGAGATGCTCTTGGGCGCTCTCGGGGTCGCCGTGGGCCCCTCTTGGGCCCCTCTTGGGCCCCTCCTGGAGCCGTCTTGCTGCCCCAGAAGCCTATTCGAGTTAAGTGAAGGAAACCGAGAGCACCTCTCAATATGACACTCAAGAGCCGATCCCGCCTGTGTGCTTTTTGACAGTAATATCTACCCGATCGACCTGAGATCAAGATGTCGAGCGGGATTAAGATCGAAGATGGGTAGAACAAATATCAGAGCTCTAACAAATTAAGCGCAGCGGCCAGAAGGTACAGAACATTGATTTTCATTTTGAGTCGGAAGGATTTGGGCCGCCCCTCGGGGTGGTCTTGATGTGGCCACGTGGAGCCGTCTTTAGACGGTCATGGTCCTTCTTGTAGGCCATCCTGGGCTATCCGTGGTTCTCTCGAGGCCATCTTGGACGCCCCAACGCCTCGCGACCGGGCCCGTCCAGACTCAGGGAGAGGGGGTAGGGGGACAAGTAAACCTCTCCCCGAATGGAAAGAAAGAGTCAGGCGATCGCAAACATGGATTAAAGGGGCGTGTATTAGCGACGGGTCCTGTTTCCATAGGAAATCGCTGATTGCCGCCTCCGAACGAGGCGCCACCGGCCGCATTTTGGGGAGGGCACCTCTCCCGATCCATGGATTTGGCGACCGCGCGCCAAATCCATGGATCGCTAATCCATGTTTGCGCGCCCCCGAAAGAGGCTGAACGAAACCAACCTGCTCAACCACCTATGTCCAACGGGCTGTTGGGATGTCAAGTAGGTTGAGACTATGTGGCTTCTGCTTCAACGTTTCCCCCTCTCCATCCGACTTCCCCTCTTCCTCCCGCTCCCCCCCTCTCTCTCCCCCTGCTGCCCAGCGCGCTCACCCCAGGGGTGCGCGGCGCGTCGGGGGGGGGGCCATCTGCCGGTACCCGAGGACGGCTCCGAAGACGGCCGTCGCAAGCACCGCCGCCGGCGCCGACGGCGAGGCAGAGGGTACAGCCGTGCTTTCTCCCCCTCGTCCTCCCTGTCCTCGTCGTCCTTGTCCTCCTCGTGGTCGTGTGCTCGTGCTCGTGCTCGTCGCTGGTGTCGCTGTCGTCCCTGCCGTCCTCCTCCCTGTGTGTTGTCGCTTCCTTTCCGCTGCCGCCCTTCTGCACCCCAGCTTCCGCCGTCCACCGTCAGGGGCAGGTCCAGCTGCTGCCGCACCCCACTGGCTTCCCGTGCCCGATCCCAGCCGGGCCCCCCTACCTGCCCGACCTGAGTCAAGGGAGGAAAAACCAGCCAGACCCGATAATTGGCATTTGCGAAACGGCCCTCGGCGTTTACTAAACAGCCCTGCCCTGTTCGATTCCTTCGTTGGGTGCATTTACTAAACGGCTCCGCTCGTCGGGGTGATCATTATGGGGGTGGATTTTCTGCTCTCTACTGAGTCCGTGGTCATTGATCGAGAGGGAACTGCAGCCATACCAAGATCGGTAGGGTACCCCTGCGACACCGTGTATCACCACCCACCAAACCACCCCAACCCAACCCGAAGGCCTCAATTTGCCCTCCATTTCCAGTGTGGGGGGGTCGGGGAACACTGACAAAAACACACGGAACCCGTACCCACCCCAACCCGAGGGTCTTCGGGTTGGGTTGGGGTGGTCTGGCGGGTAGTCAGTGTAGCAGGCGATCGTGGACTGCGCAGACCAGGACCTCGCGCAGCTTTTTTGTTCCCCCTCGGGGCCACACCCCGCGGTACTGCATTCGGCAGCATTCGAGCGCCCGAGGCATTGCGAACATAATCCCCGAAGCCTCCACTGGCCAGCCCGAGACGCACTTTTCTTCAGTTGACAGGTGACTTCATTTGTGAACGTCGTTCGTCGAACACCTGGTTTCACATCAAGGCAACATTGTTCAGCTGCAGGCTGCGCCAGCGTCACGGTCCGCACCGACCAACAGAGCCTGCTGGCTATTTGCCGACGAGCTCACATCGGTTCAGCACTCAGGGCCCACAATCTTGCCCTCTCTGTGTCGAGATCAGCGCATTGCATGCAATAGTGAACCTCGGTTTTCCGTTCAAGGATTGGACCCCCAACAAGCTATGGCTTTACAGACGCTCACTGAACCAGTTCCAATCGTGCTAGCCCAAACGAGTCCATCCCCCCCATGCCAGTGCTCCAGCCGCCCTTCCCGCACCTCCAGTCTCGATGTCGACCACATCTCGTCCCCCCGCTATAGCGTCTCCCCTCATGCGCAACTCGTTGCTGCCTCTATGCATCAGCACCGCCCACCGCGTCCGCTTCCCTACCGACCCTCGCGGACACTGTTTGCGATGTACGTCGCCTATTCCAGCCCACTGCATACCAGGCCTGAGCATATTGGAAAACCGCACGTCTGCGCCCCGAGTGCAGCAACACCCGCACCCAGTGCGACCACTCCAGACCCGCACCTGTCCATCTTGCCCCTCGCACTGCTCTCGCTCCCGCTACCAGGCCCGTCTGGCGAAACTCCAGAGACCCGCGCTCTCAGCAGCGCCGCCCGACACGCGTGAGCCAAGCCTCCACTTACACATCGGACGCGTAACGAAAAGCACGCCCTGACGCGTCACTCCGCCGACTCACGCCGATCCACTGCCCGCACCTCTTCCAAACCATCTTTTCTCGGTGTCGCTCAGATGGAAGCCGCAACCCCGTGGAGTACACGTCAACTACCACGTATGCGATAATCATTGGCGCGGCCCGCGCTGGTTGGTCACATGCGCGCCATCGATCTCACATCGTTGGCCGTGTTGCCACTGGCACCACGGCTATCTCACCCGACCTCCTCTTCCAACGGAGCGGCCCCCCAGTGTCCTTTGACCCCGACGAAATTCAAGCCCTACCATGACCACCGTTTGGACGAGCGTAACTTGCCGACCTGACGCCTGCTGCCCAGACGGCTCGTTGCCGAAACGTCCGACCATGCAAGGACAACCGTGCATCCTACCGTGCGGCACTTACTAGCACAACTCCGACGGCAACGTCGTCACGACACCGCCGGTGCACCCACGTGGCGCCCGCATTTCTGCAGTCGACGACGGAGCTGCCACCTCGACCTCCCTGTAAATGACCGCTGTTCAGGCAGCGTCCAGAGCACTTGCCTATGCTCACCCCGTGACGGCAGACGAGAATGAACAACAGCAGCAAAATTGGTCACGGGGCGATTTTAGTAGCATTTTTGGAACATTTTGGGGTCTTTCCTGACTGTTTTTTTGTTCGTCCAGAGTCCCCCTGTAGGAAGGCCCGACTGAATGGTAATGGAGAGTGGCCCAGCTGGGGGGTGAAGAACAGACCCCTCAAGGGGCCCTTCAGGGCCCCTCTTGGAGCCAGCCGGGGCCCAAAAAGGGCCCCAGAAGGCCCAGGGCCCCTCTCTTCGCCCCCCGCTTTGGCCACCCCCCCAGTGCCACCACGCCCGACCTGCCCTGCCAGGCCGCAGCCGGAGCGGCAGCGGCAGCGCGGACAGCCGGCGTAGCCGAAGTCGAAGGCCCTTCCCCCCCCCGCCCTCCTCGCTGGTCCTGCGGGGCGGGCGCCCCGCCGGCCGCGGCCCTAGGGCGGGGGGGGAGGAGGGGGAGGATGGAGGGAGGGGGGGGAAGGAAGGAGGAGGGTGGAGGTGGGTGGAGGTGGATGGGAGGAGGAGGAGGAGGAGGAGGAGGAGGAGGAGGAGGAGGAGGAGGAGGAGGAGGAGGAGGAGGAGGAGAGGGGAGGGAGGAGAGGGGAGGGGGAGGGGGAGGGGGCGAGGGGGAGGAGGGGGAGGGAGGAGGAGGAGGAGGAGCGAGGACCAGAGTAAACCCAAGGGCATCAACCAGCGCTGCAGTACGCCCTCCCGTCCCAAGTCCCGTCCTCATAAGTCCATACAAGTCTTCCTTTCCACTGCGGGCGCCCACCCCCTTGAATGACGAGCGGCCAGTCGGTCTGCCAGTCAGACGAGGGCGCCTGTTGTAAAGGATCCTCCCTCCATTTGAAGGACGCCCAGGGTAGACTCATGTTGAGAAGCACATGCCCTCCATCCATGTAACCGTTGCAGGATGTCAAAGTCGTGGACGTATGCTCCGCGGAAGTTCTGGGTGAGAGCTCATCAAGGAGTCCCAGGAAGAGCTTCACCTTCAAACGAGCATGCCCTCCATCCGCTTAAGCGTTGCAGGATGTCCAAGTCGTGAACGCCTACTTCGCGGAAGTCTCACGCGAGAGCCCCGTTTCGAAAGGTGAGCTGCCTTCCATCCGTGTCAGCTGTTGCACAATATGGAACGCCAGGTCGTAGAGCTTGGGAACGCTCTGGCAGGGACTGTAGCGACTGGGATCACCTGGGCGCGACTTCGAGCGTCTAGGAGCGCCTCGGGCAGCCTGGGGAGAGCTTGGGTTCAACATCGGAGTCGGCGAGGGGTGTCCGACGCGTATCGAGTTGTTATGCATATGTGCTCGATGTAATCCCACCAGCCCTCCTGTGTTGGGTTCTCGTCTTGAATGAAGCGCCGTGGTATCCACTCCTCCCCTCCTCTCCCCTTTCCTCCAGCCTCCTCCTGCGCTGTTCCTTGGATGGCTGTGACCTGCTCGACTGTCGCCGTTTTCGCGGACTCCTTGGAGGTCCGGCGCGGTCGGGGGCCATGCGCACCCAGGCGCGACGTCGCTCCCCCCTGGGAGGCCGAGAACTGCGCAGCGGGCGCCACTCTTCGTGGGCTCCCGGGAGGCCCTGCGGAGGCGGGGGGCCACGGCGCACCCAGGCGCGGACCTCGCCGCGGACCGGGCGGCTGGCCTCCGTCGGCGCGTGGCGGCGTCTGGCAGAGCGCACGGCGTTGGAGCTCGGAGGGACCTCCTACGGTAGGTTCGCGTCGTGTCGACCAGCGGCGACCCCAGCGCGGGCGTTCAAGGTTGAACGCCGCCGGCGACCCAGAATCGATCGATGTTGAACGATCGGACGTTGCGGCAGCGGCCGATCGTTCAAGGTTGAACGATCCCTGCGGTGTCAAAAACCAGCGCTGGGGTCGGCACGACGCGAACCTGCCGTACCCTGCTCCGTCGATTAGCGAATCGGCCGTTTTCGGTTCGCGAGAGGGCGTCGCGGCCGTCACTTTTGCGGGCTCAGGTCCACTCGGTTTCGGTCCCAGGCCGTTCTCACGAGCAGGTGGTGTGCGAAAGGGAGGGGCGTCCACTGCCGAGGAGCGTCATGCAGCGCATGGCGCTGTCCTCGGCGCCCCCCCCCCTCTTTTCAGGCGCCCGTCACGTGCAGAGGCAGCGCATGCGAGGCGAGCAGATGCCGCGCACGTGCTGTGGCTCTCGCCAGCGCTTCTCCCTCTTCCCTCGCAACCCTCTCTGCCCTACTCTCGAAGAAGAAACAACGCTACAAACATAGACCTTTTGGCGCTCCGCGCGGATTTCTTGGATCCGCGCTGGGCCCCCCTGGCGGCGCCTCCGGCGCCGCCCCTGGCGCGCTCCGCGCGCCAGGGAGGGGGGGTCCAGCGCAGATCCAGGAAATCCGCGCGGAGCGCCAAACGTTTTTTTTGTATGCGGTTGTTTCTTCTTCTTTTTTTTCTATCCACCTCCACTGTTTATGCGGTTTGTCTTAAGTTTATGTCTGTATGCGTTTTTTTCTGATTCTTTTTTCTATCCTCCTCCACTGTTTATGCGGTTTGTCTTAAGTTTATGCTTATGCCATTTTTTCTTCGCTTCTGTCCTCCTCCACTGTTGCCCCCCGTTCTGTGCTGCGCCGGTGTGCGACGTGCGGGGCCCGACAGCGTGTCGCCTTCCCGTGCGCTGCACATCTCGCAGCGAGTTTTTGTTGTTGTTGTTGTTGTTGTTGTTGTTGTTGTTGTTGTTGTTATTGTTGTTGTGGTTGTGGTTGTTGTTGTTGTGGTTGTTGTTGTTGTTGTTGTTGTTGTTGTTGTTGTTGTTGTTGTTGTTGCTGCTGCTGCTGCTGTTGTTGTTGTTGTTGTTGTTGTTGTTGATGTTGTTATTGTTGTTGTTGTTGTTGTTGTTGTTGTTGTTGTTATTGTTGGTGTTGTTGTTGTTGTTGTTGCTGTTGTTGTTGTTGTTGTTGTTGTTGTTGGTGGTGTTGTTGTTGTTGCTGTTGCTGTTGTTGTTGTTGTTGTTGTTGTTGTTGTTGTTGTTGTCGTTGTTGTTGTTGAACATTATTACTTCTAAAGAAATATTATTGTTGAGACCCCTGGTGCGCGACCCCCCTCCAAAACCTAGGCCGCAGCCTAATTTCCTTCATTTTCTAGCGAAAGCTTCAGAAAAGTGGATTGTGTCCGGATCCGGTTGTTTTGTTGTAATCCGTTTTCCCTTGCAAAAAACACTATAAAATGACATTTCTTGTTCTAATATAATCAAATTTCAAGAATCCCTTGCAAAAAACAAGGTAAAGTGGACATTCGCGCGCGCAAGACGAAATCCTTCCAAAACCTTAGTGTTCGCAGCGATTTTAACATAAAAACATCAAAACAACCAATGGTTTTTCAACAAAAAATTGTCAAAATCTCATCCCGCGCGCTCTTGCGGATTCGTAGGAAACCAAACACTTTTTAAACATTTCTGTCAAACGGGCTTTTGCGAGCAACTTTTTCGAACTTCTGCGACAACGGTTGCGCACCTGCCAGGGCCATCATCCCTGTCAAATAATACATGCGGGACACATTCGTTTTTTCTTCGCGCGCGCACGCCGAAATCTCCAAAAACCATTGGGCTTCTTAAGAATTTTAGCACCGCGCATCATAAAATCACCCGAATCGCACCGTAGGTCCTCGAAAAACACCTGCACGACTTTTCAAAATTTCTACCCGCGCGCGCTGTCCGAATCCTAAAAAAACCAATGGTTTTCCAACATTATGTTACATGAGCTCGCGCGAGCTACTTTCGCACGCTCTTGCAACGGGGTTCGCGCGCCTGCCAGGGGCCACAATCCCTTGCGGTTGCGCCATAGGTTGCGCCCCTAGACTGTTTCTGTGGAAGGCTTAACAAATTCTGTGGGTTAACAAGGCTTAACAACTTCTGTGGGTGTACGAACGTAGGCTTAACAACTTCTGTGGGTGGGTACTCCACGCCAGTGTAGTAGCCACGGTCGTCCGCAGGCCACGAAGTGAAGTGTCCGAACGTCATAGGGCGGGAAGCTGGGTGTGGGTGGTGGCGAAGAGTCGTGGGGATATTTGGTAGAGCTTGCACTGCCCCCCCACAAAGTGGGGGTATTGGCTGGCGTCGCCTGAAAACCCTGGCACTGGTAGAACACCAAGCGTCGGGTAAGTGATTGGTTGTTTGTTGTTGTTGTTGTTTTCCCCCCCCCCCCCCCCCCCTCTGGGGCGCTCACGTCAGCAGTCGCCTCTCGTGCAGGAGGTGTTTGGGGTACGTTTTTTGTGTGTTTTCTAGTGTCCTGGCGCTGTGCTGTCAACTCAGCAGCACCATGTCTCGCGCCGTGTGCACAGGGGGCTCTTCGGGGCCAGAGAAAATGAACCCGCCTCCATCCATGAAGCTGTTGCAAATGTTTGAATCGAATGTGCTCGGCGTTAAGGCGAGAACCTCGTTCGAAAACGACCTGGCCTCCATCCTTGAAGCTGCTGCAAATATCAAGCCTCGAGGATCATAATTGGCGAGACAGTCTCCGGCGAGGTCTTCTTGGACGCATACTAGCCTGCCGATCCGACGTTTCCCGACTCGGCTGCCGATTTCCGCCGATCCGATTCAGTTCGATTGGCGATCCGACTTATCGATTCGATTCTGGGCTCTCCTGGTAGGGAGGGGTGATGGGCGGAGGAGGGAGGTGGCAGGGCGCGGCGGGAAGGAGAGGATGCGGTGCGGCGGGACGTGCACGGGGCGGAGGTGGAAGGGAGGGGAGGGGGAAGGTGGACACGACGGATGGAGGAGGAAGGATGGAGGAGGAAGGAGGAGGAGGAGGAGGAGGAGGAGGAGGAGGAGGAGGAGGAGGAGGAAGAGGAGGAGGAGGAGGA